GCTGTTAGGCAGTAACATTTTTTTGATTTCGAGTTTCTTACAGCTCTTTTTTGAACTCGAAATAGCTTTTTGAACTCATTAGATACAGAATATTTATTTGATATTAGAAATACTAAGATATTTCTTAAGCTTGAGCATAATTACAAACACTATTTAAAAAAAAGATATTAGCTGTTAGCGGAGCATGTTGGAAATATTAAAGACTAAAAACTGTAGTTTATATGAAAATTATAAGGTTTAGCTGGAAATAAGAATTTTTGGTTCATTAACCTCTAAACGCTTTAACTCAGTGATAACTGGACTTCGTCAGTACAACAGTATTGGCGTAAATTATCATTGTATGACAAATAAGAAGTGATCCTTGTGGGGTAAGTTACAGTTTGATAGTTTAAAATCAAAATAAAATTAAGATAAAAGGTGAGAACGTAAACAGAAAAGGTACCAGTCTCAGTTCACACCTCGTGGTGGGCTCAGATGCCCTTGTTTGGTTGGTATTTAAACTGAAGTTCCCGGATTCAGACGTAATAAATGGTGAATGGATGCGATTCTAAATCATCAAAAAATAACGATGAAGGGAAAACCAGGGAAAAAGTAGATTCACTCTGGAGCAGAATAACAAACAGTACTGGTCCTCATCAGTTCGCATTGCCGGAAAGCTAAACTTCAGAAAAATGCAGTGCTTTATGTCCAGCAACGTCCAGTATGTTCTAAAATTTATACGAATGATGACCAGTGATGCGCCAAAAAAACCCATTCTCAAACAAAACTGAGAATTTTGTGCACGTCTTACTCCCTGGATAAGTCAGAAAACAAACATTTCACTGCAGTTTGCGAATTTGCTCTGTTTGCTGCTGGATGAAGCAGTTCTGCAGATATGGCCTGTTGTGTGGGATGGGATAATGAAGAAATTTCTGGGTGGGAAATTCGGGGAAAAAGCAGTGACAAATTTTTTTTTTCCGAGTAGCGATCGCCAAAAAACTTCAGGAATCTTAGGTATCAGGTAATCCGTATTTCCCGATAATTTATGCGTGTATTATTCAAAATGAGTGTATTTTACATTTGTTGTCGGTTTATTCAATTTTTTTACATATATGTATATTTTACCTACATAATATCTCTATTCTGTTACAAATTGCTAGAATCTGATTCGGTGACTACTACCACGCTCTTGAATCCAGGACGAACACCCGGAGGGAGAGGGAGGGTGGGGAAGGAAGAAGCGCGGTGGAGAAGACGGTGGAAGTCCTGGAGGAGAGAAAAGGGCTACTGGGAGTAGGGACGGGAGTTCCCTCCTACCCCGGAACCATGCAAAACTAGGAATAGAGTTGTAACACTGCTACATAGAATTACTATAGTTTAGAGTTGCTGTAGGCTTTAGTCTACTTTAGTTTTAGCTTTAGACCCAGGGCTTTTGCAGCACTGGTGCCTGCGAAAGGCCCTTCGTCCCCCGCTCCTTGATCCGCCTATGTTTTGAACTACTGGACCTATGCTCGTCAAAAAAACATATCAGTTAGAAGGCTGTACTGATGATTCCCACTTCAAACTGGAACGTTGTGTTCAGTGTCTGTGTTTACAGCTAAGGGATGAAACGCGTAATAAATTGTTTCCTAACTTCCCCCGCTACAAATGATATTTAAATTGATCGTTTATTCGGTCTTAATTTTTGTGCTATCATGTTGGGCGCGCCTTGCCTAGCGCCCTCAAATCGCGCCCAGACGGGACTCCTCACGGCCCGCTCGTACTTTCTTGATGCTGCCTCTTCTCGGTTGAACTGCACTGAGACACCGTTGTCATGACAAAAATTTTGTTGACACATCGGCGAAAGAGAACAAAAAAAAAGAGTGAAATCCCTGATATTGATCACACACGTTTATATACAAGATTTTCGAGCATACAAATCGACAATGATCACCGGGAAATGACAGATCACCAAGTCAAATGACCTTCATGAAATTGCTCGCAAAATGTGCGCGCCATCGGATTTCCCACTTTGCCCAACTATCGCGACCCTAATTGTTACCTTGTTAGACTAATGCGGGTAAGCGTGTGTGTATGTGTGTGTAAGACGTCGCGTCCTATGTTTATTAGTACACAGTAAGTTAAAAAGTTAATGCATACAAAGATGGTGAGGCTCTGCGGAGCCGAAGCTCCCCAGAATAGGAGTATTAGTTAAATAGAAGTAGGTCGCAGTGGTGGATAGGTAGTGGCGATCCCGGCGATGGGGAGAAATGCTTTTATACCCCAGGGGACAAAGATCGAAAGTTCAGTGAGGGTAGGGTGGTCAAAGTTTGAGCCAGGGACAAGGGTATTGCTTCATAGTAACGCAACTGTTCTTTAACCTACTTTTAACAAAAAACCGTTGTTCATTATTTGACATATTATGCGACACAACAATCATATTTTAAAAGTTGTTAGAAGCTCTGGATCTGTTGCTGTTGCTTATCCTGGCATTCGAGTTCGTTTCGCCTTCTGGAGAGATTTCCAGGCTCGATGGCCCCCTCAGCCGAAACATTTGTTCCCAGAACAAATACAATTAGAGCAATCAAATTCAGTTCGAATACGAAATCCGATTTCAAAAGGAATCTCTACAAAACCCCGTGATCAACCATATGCTGCCATTCAATTTTTGGCACAGTGCCAATCCGCGTAGTTATTCCATAATACTGAAGTGATTTGCTGCACGGGTGGTGTAAGCGAGTTGCTGAATTGCAAAGTGTTGTAAAAGTTGTGTAAATTCTGTATTTGTTAGAGTAGGGTTGGTATTGTTGGCATCTG